CTGCCTCACTTCTTTTATGGAAGTGGCAGCCTCCTGGATGCTGCGTGTGGCCTGGCTGGAAGCCTACAATAGCTTCCGGTTGGGCCTCAAACCCTGCGCCCAGGCCCGAGACTACAGTTGAGGGCCTGGGCCCGTTACAGTTGGGCACAGCCTGAGTCTCCGGACTTGGGCTGTTTGCTGCATCTGTGCAGGGCTCCCAGACAGGTGCGTCGGCGGTACTGCTTTTGCAAAGGCCGATGGCCTGCTTCCCAATGTATCGGCCCTGCTTTGTGTTTATGTGCCCAGGCGCACCTGTCAAGGCCTGGGCCAACTGAATGACGTAGCTTTGTGAGGCTCACGCGTCTACCCAACCAACTGGCGTGCTGCGAGAGCCTGGATACCCACATATGGAAATGTCGAATTTTGCTGCTGACGAATTTTCAGGCCTGCCTTCACTTCGGGCTCTCGGCTTGCTGGGGGCCTTATAGCCCAGATCATGTGATGTCTGATAGGGCCCCTCGAGGGCTTGTTCCTCACACATCGCTCGGTTGAGCATGCATTAATAGTGTGGGCTTAGAATTGTGAGGTCCCCGGACCTCAATCTTCTTTCATTAAATAAAGAGAAAAAAAGGATGCTCAGGGCACCTGTATAATATACATCACTCGGTTGAGCATGTATCAATAGTGTGGGCTTGGTCTTCTTTCATTAAATAAAGAGAAAAAAGGATGATCATACTGTGGGCTGAGCACCGCACACGAACGCTTCGCTCACACAGTACACCATGTGTTTCGTTTTTCCCACCACCTCCAGTTTTCCACTACTTCCACTAGTACCCAAGGGGGCAGCATGGAATTTGCCAGGGGTAAAAAGGGCTCATAAGAATCTGCATCAGCCTCCTCTAAGCTGCAGGTATCAAAATGACACCTTGCCGACAGTACATGTGGTTTATACCACCAGTACACCCAGGCTTGGAGGTGCTGCATTGCGTGCCAAGCTTTTCCCGACTGCCAGTAGTGCACTTCTCGTTTTCGGCTGTCGCCCACCAGCCATTGTGGTCCGGTAGCCCCAAGCCCCGAAAAGTTCAGAGCAAAAAGGCTGGGGCCGTGTGCTGGCGATGAAACCACCACTTTCTCTGGACATGACCTGCAGTGCAATGAGCCAATGATTCATACCACCACATCTTGGAAACCATTGATGTCACACTGCACCACAGAATTTCTCATACCAGAGATAGAGAACAACACACGATATGTAAGCTTTGAAGATGTCCAGGAATCGAAGTCTTATAAAGCAATCCGCATGCATACAGGTCTGGGAAGCTATGGACACCTGATCAACAGCACTCAAAAACAAACTCGCTTACTCTCTCACTCACGACTCTACCCTACCCTCAGGCCTCACTCTCTGTGTCTGAATCTCCTCATCACTCCTCAATCTCTCTCTCCAATTACACCTATTGCACCGGGTGCTGTCAACATTCTTCCTGCCTACACATCCTCATTCAATGCTTGGTCGCACAAGTCCGCAGCTGCTCTTCTGCAACAAGCTTGAATGGAGTTTTTTTTGCAATGGTGGACTTCCGTATCCAGGCTGCAGTTCCCACTCTTGCACTTCCATGCCGGTACCAGCACTTGACATTGGCAGCCAGACAACAACGGTTCTGAAGAGTCCACTGACTTACATGGGACTAACCTGCTGACCCGACTGGACTGGCTGACCGACTGTCTGATTGGACTGACGGCTGTACTGGCCTAGTGGACCTATGGACCTAGACCCTAGACCTACTTACTGGAAGCGGGACAGGAAATGGACACTGAGACGCATGAAATCCTTTCAATCTAACCATTTTCTGACAATCCAAAAGGGGAAATTCTGGCCACATTGCAATCACCTTTTCGGAAAAAAAGAATCCCTCCCAGGTGGTGGTAATTTGAGCCACCACTGCCTCTGACATCAACTGTGGCCAATGCAAGTATACTCGGAGGTCATGGTCTGGCTCACTGGTGGTCTAGTGATGGCCTGCAGTTGCTCACCTCCCTCGCCGATGTGTGACTCAATCATGGGAAGGATTAGATGCCCGTTTTCAATGCATTTTATGAGTGAATAGAATAAACTCACCATGCGCATTATGTGTTTCTGCAGTCGTTCAAGAGGGTGCATCCACCGCCTCACAACCTCAACCAGATCGACAATTCCTGTCTGGTCATCTTCTGAAGTGTCATCCTTCGTGGCCAACCCTGCTTCACACCTTGCACTCCGAGGTGAGCCAGCAAAACTGCGATCACCGCTTTGACTTGGCCTTACAGAACCCCTGTGGTCAAGATGATTACCTGGGGCCTCACGTCCACCCACTGGCCCTCCTATGCCACCACCCACATCATTGAACATGATGCGCGACTGATTCCGATTCTGCTGACCTTTTCTCAACATAGAGCCATCAATGCAGTACCTGCCCAACAGACCGAGGGACACAGAAGAAGATCATCCCATTAGGAATCCATGTACTTAGGTGAGAAGGGACAATTTTGAGTGCTGTAGTTTCTTCATCAAACTCTAATTCTCAATGCATGAAACATATTCATACACAAGCTATCAACTGTCTCTGAAGCCCTCGCGGCCCCAATGATAAGGAATCACGGACATTTAGTGGCTACCAGATAGGGGCTTTTCAACCATATCTGGATGCAGATCCGCGACAGCAGGATCCACTCGTCACGAGCACAGACAACTTAATTTCAACTTGAAATACATACAGTGGTTCTTCGAGGTGGCAGCTATGTCTGCCCACAACAACAACAAAAAGGGAAATTAGTCTCTCTCTCTCTCTCACTCTCTCACTATTATACAGCGTCCAGGTCCCATGATTACTCTCTGAATGCCCTTGCTGCTCTTCCTCTCTCCCCCGCTGCACTCAAGCTCACAGCTATGGCGCCCAGCATCGTGGCCTACTCTCCCGTGCTCACGTTCCAAGATGCTGGCGTCCAAGCAATGCAGCAGTATTCCACACCTGCCAGATTGAAGAAGTAGAGGTTCCTGATGTTGGCCTCCCTTTTTGATTGTGCCTCTGCCTCACTCGTGATCCCATACTCTTCCTGCCAAGCCCTGCCATGGCCGACAGAAGTTCGGTCTGTCCTGGTTTTTCCCTTGGACTGAGCTGCAATGGAACCGGGACTGGACACATGGCGATCTCCTACCTACTGACTTTCCGGGCCTTGGGACTGGGATGCAAAGGCACCAGAACTGGAGACGTGGCGACTTCCTACCTACAGGCTTTCTGGGCCTTCCACTACGATAAAACCACCAGTACCTCGCCCAGCTATCAAGTCCAAATGAAACGGGGGGGTGGGAGAGAGAGAGAGAGAGAGAGAGAGAGAGAGAGAGAGAGAGAGAGAGAGAGAGAGAGAGGGAGAGAGGGAGAGAGGGAGAGAGNAGAGAGGGAGAGAGAGGGAGAGAGAGGGAGAGGGGGGGAGAGGGAGAGAGAGGGGGAGAGAGGGAGAGAGAGGGAGGGGGAGAGAGAGAGAGAGAGAGAGGGGGGGAGAGAGAGGGAGAGGGAGAGAGGGAGGGGGAGAGAGAGAGAGAGAGGGAGGGGGAGAGAGAGAGGGAGAGGGAGAGAGGGAGGGAGAGAGAGAGAGAGAGAGAGAGAGAGAGAGAGAGATGCCCAGTTGGGCACTGTATATGGAGCCAAGGATCCGCAGTGTGATGAAAAGGACTGAATGGACAATGCAATGTCGGTGCAACATCAACAGGCAATGTACATCCTGATACATACAAAATGGCACAAAGTAGTGCAGTGGAACACTCAAAGATAAGTCATGACCTGACCGGGACTGAAGCGACATCCCATCATACAATGTCTGCCTCAAAAATGTCAGATCAGATCCTGTGACTAAGCCCACTGTAACCTCTCTCTCTCTCTCTCTCTCTCTCTCTCTCTCTCTCTCTCTCTCTCTCTCTCTCTCTCTCTCTCTCTCTCTCTCTCGTATCTGATCAAGAAGAAGAAGAGGAAGAAGAAGAAAGAGGAGGAAGGGGGAGGAAGGAGGAGGAAGAGAGGGAGATTGATGAAGAAGAAGATGCCGCCCCCCTTGCTGCCTCACCTGCAGGTGCTAACTCCAAACTGACCGCCGTTCTGTGTCGTCGTGTGCAGGTGACGCGCGCACGGGGAGTCCCAGCTATAGCACCAGTAAGTCCCCTTCGTCGCAGATATGGCCTTCGCCCCTCTGCCTTCCGGTGCTCAGGCTCCAACTCAGTAGCGCAGCGCTAAACAGTGCAGCACTAAACAGCGCAGCACTAAACAGCGCAGCGCTGAACCCGCAGCGTGTCGCTCGAGAAGTGAGCTACTCCAACTCTGGTACCCAGCCTCAGCCCAACAATACGTAGCGCTGGGCCTGGCTGGGCGTGCCTCTGAGGCTGGCCTAAAACGGCCCACCCGGTCTGGGCCCCTACCACGTATCCAGACTATGCTGCTGATGCAGCAAGGTGCAAAAACACGCCTGGCCTTCTTTCTAAAAGGACCTTTACTTATTGCCGAACAGACACGACTTTCCATCGAGGAGACATGACCCTAACTTAGTCTTGAAAACTGTGTCCAATACCTGTCCGTGAAGGACCTGTTTGTGACTGTTCAAACGACTTTTCATTTCATTATGGATGCGACATTTGCCTCAGGAACTTTGTCTTTTGGGTTGCAGCTCGTGAATTTAAGTTCTGACCGACAGGGCCCCTCACTGTTGGGGCATTAATCTGGGGTCTAGGCCACAGTCCCAGTCCAAGTCATAATCCCATGAGTCAGTCCTGATTCAGACCAGGAGTCTAAAAGACAGGCCCGATGGCCCAAAGCAGCAGCAGACCATGGGAAAAGATACTGGGACATACACTTCGCAACAACGGGTACTGGGCAGGAGTCCAAGACACTTGAGGCTGACTGCAGGCCACGCCAGGCCATTCCAGCACTATAAAGGACTGGCCAGCCTCCCATTTGGACAGATGATCATTTCGCTTGAGAGTGTGGAAGTGCCGTGGCACTTGTGCGCTAGATGTGTGTGAGCTGCTCTAGGCTGAAGAGCAGCGCTATGTGAGAGGGAAGAGAGTAGCGGCGCCAGCGCTAGTTAGTATGTTAGTAAGGATACTCAGTAGGAGGCACCATTGAGTAGTATTCAGAGTAGATCCTCGCGTGATAGGGAGTGTGCATGCATGATGAGTGAGAGTAGACCAGGACTATAGACAGAGGAAGAGAAGCGAGAGATCAAAGGGGAAGAAGTAAGCCATGGTGATACCTACTGAAGCGCTGTTGACATTAGGCAGCTGGTGCTGATGAGCGCCAGGCTTGGGAATTCATGTTGATTGAAGAAGACTTGTAATTCTGTTTGGCCTGGGAATTCATGTTTATTGAAAAAGACTTGTGACTCTGTTCGGCGCTGTACATCTTGGACTCGTGATGTTTTCTCTATAATCTGGATTTGATAATCGTGTTGAGCTTCCTGGTTCTCATTCATTTTCCATTGGGCTTTGTGTGAGACATCGCAATCTGTGAAATCTGTGTATATGCGTGTGATCTGATGCACTCCAGCAAGTGATGAACAGTCGGGTTCCTTGCAATTTGGTATCGGAGCAGAACTTGTTGCTCTCAATGGATGCGCTGGCATGATCAAGGCCGGCGAGAAGGATAAGCTGGCTTGAGTATAGCTGGCGAGAGATGAAGTAAGAGGTGAGGTGAAGAGGTGTTGGAGTGGGATAGAGCGGGAAGTTTGCCGAAGAAGAAGGGGCTATTGAGGAGAAGACTTACCTGCGATTGGAGAGATTGGAGCGAACGTGGAGTCTTCATCAACGGCTACAAAGAAGGGAAGCACCTCCTGCCCTACCTACCTTGTTGATTGCAAACCTGTGTGTTGTGTATCCTTTCCCCCCCCCTCCATTCTGGTGGTCGCTGCTGCTGTCTGGACGAAATCATGGCCTGGTCACGTCTGACAGATAGGACTAGAGAGTCAACATCTGCTCTTTCTGTTAGCCATCTGGTCTGTTGATAGGTAGGGAAGATAGGTTGAGGAGGGAACTGTGTACTGCCGCGTCAGAGTGTAAGTGGCTGAGAACAGGGAAAATCGTGATAACTTGGATTTGTTTTTTCTCTAACGAAAGTGACCAGTCAGACCATGTTACATGCCCAGTTGGGCGATGTACATAATAACCGAGGATCCGCGATGTGATGAAAAGGACTGAATGGACAATACAGTGCTAGTGAAATCTCAACAAGCAGTGTGCATCCTGATACATACAACAATGGTGTTTTATAACGCAGTGGAAGATTTAGATACAAGTCCTGACCTGACCGGGACTGACCTCTTTTACGTAGTATAAGATAGCGAAGCAGAAGGCTAGAATACTGATGACGAGCCCAATCAATGTCTCAATGCAGACTAAACATGCAACATTCTCACCACAAGGTGTGAAGGGGCCTGACGCTATACACAGGAAGAGGCACCAGGTCCAGACATGCACAGACGAAGAGGAGGGGATCAGACGAAGAGGAGGGAAGAGATGGGAAAGTCGTCAACACCAAGTCCCGTTACAAGTCCCAAATAATCCCTCGTCAAAATGTCTGAAGTGCAATGTCGAGTCTGGATCCAAATGTCACCAAGCTCTCTCTCTCTCTCTCTCTCTCTCGCTCGCTCGCTCGCTCGCTCTCTCATAGTCTGCTGATGCAGTGAAGTCCGATAATGAGAGGGTGAGAGGGAGATGGTGGACTGACAAGAGGAAGAAGAAGAACTCTCTCTCTCTCATGTGCCAGGTACTAACCTGTGAAGGCGGCGCTGCGCTGCAGGTACCTTGAAGACGAAGCTGGAGCGATGGTGCTGCAGGTAAGTCCCTCTGGCCTCCGCCCAATCTCTCTCTCTGTAGTACTACTCTAGCTCTGGCGCCCAGTGCTGAAGACTACAGCTAACGCTACTAGCGCCCAGCGCTTAAGACTACTGCTAACGCTACTACTACTCCTGCAGCGCTCCTCCAGAGTGCTGCTGCCGAATCCTGAAGACTACCTCCTGGCTCCTGAACTGCACGTGAAGTACCCGGGAAGTACCTAGGAACTATCTGCAGCCTGCAGGGCAGGCCAGTCCTTTATAGTGCTGGCCCGTCCAGGAGGCTGCTCTTGCCAATCCCAAAACGTGCCAGACCCTGGGGTTGAAGCTCAAAGGAAGGTTGTCTTGAAAATAGGCCAAAAATGGCCTGAGCTAAAACCCTGGTTTGGTGCCTGAGTTTCGGGGCAGGCCGAACTCAATGAGGGCCCGGAAATGGTCCTCAGTTTCAGGCTGAAAACACTCAGGGCCGGAAAGGCCCTGATTTAGCCTGAAACGACACAGGGCCTGTAGGCCCTTGTTTTCAGGCTTTCAGGCTGAAACGACACAGGGCCTGTAGGCACTTGCATCACGGGCCTGGAAATGGCCCGTGCAGCCTGCTGCA